GATGCACTCGATAGAAACTTCCATAGTTCTACAGTCAATAATCGTCATACGGAATCTCAGTCATACACATCAATTCCATTTTAGATGAGCATTAATTTGGTATATCATACATTTTTATATGATCTGTAGTTTCAGCTATACCCTCCTGGAAAAATATTATTTCCAACCGTGTACAATAAATTGCTCTTCTACTTACATAAATGGCTCCTATCGTGCAGAGAAAAAATGGCTCCTAGAAGGGATTTTCTGTCAAAAATGGTCCATCTTTAAACACTACATTCGACAGTTGACTACTGTAGTTTGTTTTTTTTCTTTCCTTTTTCTTGTTGTCCAAATTCAACAGCATAAAAAGGTAAAACCGAGTTAATAGTCATGTGCGAGATCAAGAACAGGAGTTATGCCGAAGCCTGCAGTAGAAAAGCACATAGATTAACCAACTTAAAATAATCCCTCTCTACCTGATCGTCCAACCATCAAATTGTACAAATTCATAGATAAGTACGAATCGTTGATTCTTTTCATCGAGCTGTTCCTGCATGTTGTTGCAACGATATTTATCAACCCAATAGGTATAGCAAAAGAATCGATTTGAAAGAACGAGCCAAGATGATCACAGTATTTAGCCAGACCATTTGAACGTCAGTCGTCTGGTTGTATGATAAGACGAGATGCTGCTGCAAGAGTGAGGGTGAGAACCGTTCTCCAGGCATCATCATCTAAAGTATAATAACATAAACAGAAGCACTTCAGTAAAGTTTTATGCGTTTTTATTAGAATTAATGCCTAGCTAGGCCTATTAGTACATCACAGATGAGTTTTAGTAAATAACGAAAATTCGAACACTCCTTTCAGATGATACAGACTTACGGAAACAGAAGAGTTATACAACAAACAGAAACACTTATAAAAACGACTCTGGGAAAAACGAAAGTAAAGATAAATCCTCATCAGATAGATCAAGAATAGAATAGTCTTCACTATATCCAAAAAACAACAAACATTTTTGGATTGCCGAAATATGAGCAATAAAACGTTTCGAACGATGTATACATTTAATAGAAGGGAATTTACTAGTTTTTTCGAATTTTCTCTCATTTTCATAGCAACAAGTTTTCAAATGACTTTCTTCAAAATGTTTAATGATTGTCCGTCCACATTAGTTTTCATTGAACGCCAGCTGATCACCATTATAAACGTTCTTTGTAGATTTTGGTTAGGATAGTTAATATTGCTCTGTTTTATGTCGGACTTGAATCGTTTTGCTGCCATTTTTATATGTAAATTGGTTCTCTAAAATTAAATTAGCTATGGTCACATTGCCAAAAATTGGACAAGTATAAGTGGCATAAACGACGAGCACAGCGTTTATATTTTTCTCACAGAGTCGATAATAAATTTGGAAATCTTTCATCAACACCAAGGAAAAATATTTGGAGTGTACATACATATACGTACACGCACTCAACGTAACATCATCGGTTTTGGTTGTTTCGAAGAGCGGTAACCAAACATGCAGGTATGTACAGTCACAGTTGATAATGAAAACTGCTCATAAGTATACGAAATGATCTTCAGAAGAAATCTAACATAGTTTTAGAATTCTCTGTTAACATAAAGATTGGGAAAGCATGAATTCTGTGAATCAGGATCAAAAACTACGTCGACCAATGTGTATTTCGAAATTTTTACTTGATTTTCATGTTTTGGTGGAAATCTCGGTAATTTTTCAACATGAAAATTCGACAGAAACCAAAATAGTTGGATAGGATAGAAATACACATTAATCGACGTAGTTTTTGGTCCTGATTTCGAATATGATATTTCTGTTGCATAAAATTTGAGTTCTGATTGAGAAAATTAAGAATTACAAGCAGGTTCTGACTTTTTTGCCTCTAATTTGAAAAAAAAGCTCTCCATATTAATGTTGCCTGTGTAAAGATGAGAATTGAATGTGGTATGAATGAAGGTTCCATCTCATACCAGAAAAGACTGATAAGATTTGGAAAATTTGTTGGCGCCATTTTGGTCCCTGGTAACATTAACTTTTAATTTAGCCGTGTTATATGTGATAAGGCTCTAAATAACAGTTCTAGAGGCAGTTTCATACGCTGGATCGGGAAAAAACAATTGTGACGCTTCAAAATGAAACAGAAAAAGTTTTCAAGAAGTTTTTTTTTTGGTTTAACGGTTTTTTGAATTTCAAGGTTTTCAACGTTTCTAAATTGTTTTTCACTTAAAATTTCGATTGGAAACCTCGATTTTATTGATCAACTTGATGAACTGAATCAAATGATGTAGAAATAGGCGTAAAATAAATCGTGCTCGAGTTTCGAATTAGCGGCAGCTTACATCAATTAACTTCTGTGAACATTCAATTTGTTGCACGCTGACGAACGTAATCTTCGAACTGATCATTGAACGCGTTCGTAGTTATAACTTGAATAATAAGACGAGAAGCGCTTTTCCATAGAGTTTAACAAGATTTAATATTTCTTCTATAGAAAAGACGGTTATCCATTCTCTTGAGAACAGCATATGAGCGATACGAAACCATAAAGAAATATAGGTAGCTCTAGATGGATTTCTGTGCTTATACTATTTAATTCAACATGTTCAATAACATTACTGCACTGTTGTAACGAGCAATATCCAAGTTGGACTGTTATTAGACAATTTAAAATATCTAAGAGTAGTATGTTTGAATTATCGGTAATTTTGGATTGTTATTAAGATATTATTTTTTTTATAACTACATTCCCAACCAATTAATAATTGTATAATTGCTCGAGCAATGTCTAATCTAGTTTACTTAAAGACTTCGAAATTATTTCCAGCAGTAGCTGCAGCAATGAAATTAATGCATATGATTAGTCGTAAATTATCGCGAACCTTTCGATTAGACTCAACTGTTATTATCAACTTTAACACGAGCAGAAAAACAACGACAGAAATCGCCTAGATTATGGAAATTGACACTTTCGTTTTAGTCAGTATCAACATATTTGTTTACTATTATTATTCGAATCAGATAATCATAGCTAGCGATTCGAAATATTCATTGTCCGTATCAACAAAAATATCGATAATCGCAAAAAGTTTTATATGGTGTTGGTTATCCAATAATATTTGTAATGTTTCTAGAGATTTTGTTATCATTCATAGTCCTATCAATTCCAGTTGTAATCATCTGTCTTACAGGAATGTCAATTCGCCTGTCGGCAACAGATTTTGAACATGTATTTAGCTTTAATGCTATTTTATTACTGTTAACAAAGCTACGTCAAAACCTTTTCCTCTCAAGTGTTCTGGTAACGTGCAGAAAATATAATTTTCTTCTCAATATGTGATAAAATAACTTTTTCCTAGAGCCATAATCACGAAAAGATAGAACATTCAAGGATTTATTGTCCGACGCTTCTAACAATGCCAAAAAATGCTCACCATGGGGTGTCTTTACTATCGTTGTGAAAAACTGTTTCTTGTTCAGTTAACGGTAATGCTCAGAAACCACATTTGAACTTCGAAGAATTTTGAGAAAGAAATTATCAGGTGTTCTTTTTTTCCTCTAGTTTTTATTTAACGAGTGTGCACTTTTCTATGATCAAGAATGTGATTACAGTGTTGTTTTTTCTTGTCAGGTAAGAAAGGATGCTAAAAACTAGGAGTATATACCATTCATCTGTACATATGAAAGGTGTATGCACTCCGGCTAATCACACGATACGAACGTCACCATCATTCAACCGTAGTACGTGTAAAAAAAGTACATCGAAATATTGTATAAAGAGTGCCGCTTAGCAAAGAACAGTTGTTTTTCATTGTAAATTCAATCACAGATAAGCAACTTTTTCATTCTTCTCTCCTATATAACATTTCAATTAACTGAAAAAAAAAAACGTTTTGTTTGTTTTCTGGTTAGTACACATAGGAAAAGGTCACACTTTAAGTACACGAAATTTTTGTTTTGCCATTGTAACTTTTTTACTTTTTTGTTTAAAATAGTAAAAATATGTTCTTAGCAATATTATTATTCTCCGCTCTTCTCTTATTAGTTATAACGTATTATCTGATATTGTTCAGTCAATACCAGTATTTTAAATCACGTAATATACCCGGTCCAAAACCAGAATTCTTTTTCGGAAATTTTAAAACATTATGGAATGTTAAATCGTATTCAAGACAATTGGAAGTGTGGACAAAACAATTCGGCAAGATCTACGGAATATTCGAAGGTGAATAATGAACTGAGTACTCCAGATAATGGTTCTTTAATCTATGAGATTCGTAGTTTGGATTTGAACTTGCTTTTGTTGTTACAACAGCAGCTACTGATATTTCACTTTAAGACGAGCTTCAGCCGTAATGAAATCTCATAATATATGCTGATGAAAAGAAAACGTTCTCCTACTGAAAAGAGTTTGTCAGTCCTTTTTAAAACTGACTCAGCTCAAATGAATTTTTGAACTATTTAGTAACTGTGAGGGACGATTATCGTCAATAAGAAATTTATGGCATATAGATTTGCATGGATCGACGGCTTTGATTGTGGCAAGCGGAAGAACTGCTGATACTATTATTTATTTCTCTATGCTCTAGGCACATTGCCGGTTTATGTTGTATCCAATGCCGATTTTCTTCAAGAAGTGTTCATAAAACAGTTTTCAAATTTTTATGGCCGAAAACCGACCCCGTTAAAGAAAGAACTAAAAGGCAAACCGGTTCATTTATTGAATGCCGTTGGACGAACATGGAAACGGCAACGTAACGTTATTAATCCAACATTTTCAAGCGCTAAATTAAAACAAATGTCTCCAATGATGAATCATAGCGTTGACCAGTTAATGAAAAAATTACCGAATCATGCTGATGATAATGATGAATTTAATATTTACGATTTATATAAACGAATGACTATGGATGTTATTTGTAAGTAATGATGGTCTGAGTGAGTGACGTTCTTTCATGCTCCCTTTTAAACATACTTCAAGGTCGATGTGCATTTGGTGTTGATACTGATATGCAAAATGACCCAGAAAATATTTACTTTAAAAAAACGGCACAAGTATTTGGAACTGATTTGAAAAAACGCACAATAGCTAAACTAATGTCAGTATTGCCGGAATTGAACGCAATATTCCGTCTAATATTTCTAATGCAAAATCGTTTACACAAAATCATCAATAAATTATTTCCATCTACAATAACCAAATTTGAACAACGACCAGAGATGTGGTTTATTGAGCAAATTCATAATATTATTGAAATGAGAACAGAAGAAGTTAAACAACAACGTGTCGATCTACTACAGCTGATGTTAGATGCTGCAACGCGCAACGAACTGCAGGCAAGACTTGAATGCTCGATTTTGGCTACAGTGCATCTTCTCTGTTCGTGAAGCAAACTCTCAGTGTTCTTGAAAAAACTGCTTTCTAAAATAGAAACTTAGTTCTTTTTTTGTGTTTTCATCAGCTCCAAGCGGAAGAAGAATTCAACAGCGAAATCGAGCAGTCTATACCAAAACAGCTGATGTATGAAGAAGTAAAAATGAATACCATTCTCTTTCTGCTGGCGGGCTATGAAACCACATCGACTAGTCTGGCTTATTGCACTTATGTGTTGGCAAATCATCCGGATGTACAAGAAAAGCTACAAGATGAAATAGATAAGAATTTCGATAGCGAAAACGACATTGAACATCCGAACTATGATATTATAAGTAATATGGAATATATGGATATTTTCATTAAAGAGGTTCTACGGATGTATCCAATTCCAGTTTCAATTATAAATCGTGAATGCAACAAAGACACAACAGTTTGTGGTTATAAAATAACGAAAGGTAAGAAAAAATTACATATATGCTGTTCTTTTCATTCCAACGACTCATTCAACAGTTGAAATCAAATTAACTGACCGAGGACATTTTCGAATTGATATTTAATGTTATTTTCGCTCGGCGTCTTCATATTGTTATATTTTCGCTAGGTTCAATCATCCAAGCAGATGTATACAGTATTCATTATGATCCTGAACTGTGGGGACCCGAAGATCCTCATGAATTTATTCCCGGACGTCATGCTGTTAAACGTCATCCGATGGCCTATATACCTTTTGGTGGCGGACCCCGAAATTGTGTTGGTATGAGATTTGCCTTAACGGAAATAAAAATTTTTTTAACAAGATTATTAAAAGACTATTCTATTATTAAAAGCAATAAATTAGAAACGAATTTTAATATTCGTGAAGCAGGACTAGTTATTGCTCCAGAACAAGTTTGGATTAAATTACAAAGACGTCAGAAATAACAACAAGCATATAATCAATACACTAATTCTATATATACTTCTAATGGTGCTGAACTGGTTTTTTATTGTACTCACTTATCTTCGACTGATTTGTCATATAGTTGGCAGCTTTACTCTTTCTTGACCATGTTTTTTACAGTAAAAGATCAATCTATCGATTAAACAAGCTTTCAAGCCTCCTAAAACAACCTAAAGTTCGGAAAATCCTCTCAACTGGGTGGAACTTTATGGGTTAACATGGCTCCCAATCCATAATCGGACGTATCCAGTTGTAATACAAATAGATGATTGAAATCTGGATACGCGGTGCGGAACACGGGACAATTATTAAAAGAATTCCTGTCCATTCTCCATACATCATAAAAACTTGATTCTCGTCTAGATCAATAGAGAAATGTGTGGAGAATACATGTAAAAAATTTTCTTCTTTCCTCCATATTATTGATTAATTAGCACTAGTTAACGTTAATTTAGCCTACTCCCATTTGAAAAATAAGAAATCAGTAAAAGAATTTAAGCAATACCTCATCTGATACGGAATATCACGGGCTACAGACTGGCTAGTTTAAGAGTTTTAGAATCCAATTCATCCATTAGAATTTTTTTATAACAGCCCAGTAAAAATATTTTTTCAAAACATCTTGAACCAAATTTCGCTGGAAGAAAGTATTTTCGAGGAAAATTGTGGAACGAAAGTTGTTCAGAATTAGATTCCCTGGAATACGTACGAAGGATTTTTCAAAACTCATTAAACTCGATTTTTAAATTGAAAAATACGGTTTTTAAAATTTTAAAATTTAGTAAAACTTAATTTAAAAGTCAGTCCTCCTACCAGTCCAACAACACTCAGTTTATTGAAAGCCGAGCCTCCCGGCTTATTTAGCAGTTATAACCTCAGTTCTATCTACTATCTGAAGCGCACCTACCACTGGTTTGACTGGTTTTGCTTAGTTTGGCATTTCAACATCCTACTGAAGAGATGACCATTAGCCGAACAAGCCGATTTAACTCTAGGAACCTGATTCGCCTGAATCAGAGGTAGATTCTGGTGACAAAGTATCAAGTTTTGAGGAAATAAGATGGAGTTTTGGTGAAGAAATACCAAGTTTTGTAAGAAATACGGTGGAGTTTTGCTGCCAAAACACAAAGTTTTGAGGAAAAACGATGGAATTTCGGTGAGAAAATACCGACTTTCGATGAAATACCATGCAGTTCTAGTGAAAAACAGTTCTGGTGGGAAAATTCCAAATTTTGAGGAAAAAAAATGTAGTTTTCTGGGTACTTAAGAGTCCGTGGTTGGCTGTCGAATCCTTTTAAGACTCAGTACATGTCTACTGACCCTTCAAGGTTCGGTATGGATTCTTTATTTTTTTCCGAGCAGGGTGTTCATAGGTGTAAGCGTATTTTAAAATACCGACAGAGATTTTACAGGCAGAAATCCAGCTGTCTTCCCCTTGTGGCACATCGTGTCAGGTTATCTCTCGATGCGTCAAAAGCTACCATGGTCAAAAAGATGCTTCATCATAGAAGTTAGTATATTCCTAAGATAAAGATGATTTAATTTTAAACAAACACTTTCTCTATCGTTTTTGACAAATCGCTAGTTGTTTAAGATTATGTCGACTGTAACACTATCTTGATAGTATGATATACGGATGCCTGTGATGGAGACCCGCTCACATATGATCTGTGTTTACGTAACCAGTAATATTAACTTTTTTATTTTCCCCATATCCTTATTCACCCATGTTGGTTTATTCTCACTTGTTATCGCATTCTAACAGTGTCAGTAGATAGAAAAACTCATGCAGGCTGAGCACTACCTTTTCCAACATGATATAAAGAAAAACACGAATACGTCTATATAAAGCGTATGGTTTATCATTTTATTTTTATGATCAGTTCGATTGTTCTGAAAAGTTTATAGTTCAAATAAAGTCATAAGTAACTATTTCTAAACTACCGATAATTTATTTTCAGACAATTGCGTTAATTCTATTCAGGTTTACGTGAATAAACAATATTTTCTTCTACACACATCAAAACAAAGGTTAGTTTGGTTACTTTTATTAAAGGACAAAATGTTTATCTTATGTGTTTCGCTTAATTTTAAGAAAAAAGAAAATATATGTCATACCAAAAAGTTTGCGATATCAAAGAGGCAAAAAAAAAACGGTTTACTCGGGTGGAGTCAATTTTGGGACTGCTGTTTACGGTGCTGGAGGCGGAAGGACAACAGAGAAAAAGGATTGTGGGAGGAAAGATTGCAAAAATTGGATAGATATGTTCCACCCGTCGATAAACCTAAACCAGCAAAACCCTCACCCTTACTTCACCCCAAATCAGCAGAATACTACGCTTCGACACCAGCCAAAGGCATATTGGCACGATGTGTGACGCTGCGTATGTTCTTTTTCTTTATGTAGATGTTATTTTTTTAAGCAGACTCCGTTTTTTACAATCACACTACGCTTTGCAATTCCTATTCATGAAATAAATATTATCGGGAGATGATTCCATGCCAATTGAGAATGTGCTTTTTGTTCAAGAGTGAGGATGATGGTTAGTATAATATAGTTAGACATGTCAGTTTACACGTCAAAACAAAGGTTGACGAACATCCTGCTCTGAAAAAAAAGCTGGCCCGTTTTTCTGCCGGTTTGACCATTTTTCTTTTTGTGCGTTTCCGCTTCTTTTCTTTTTACAGCCAACGAGCAATGATTCGAAAGGAGAGTTTTTTGGCGGATTTCAAGTGACTTTTCGTATGACGAACGAAGTGTATCTGTTCCCAGTCGTATAGTTTGCACATAATCTCTAACCATAGTCGACAACCCATTTGCTTTCGTTTTGATCCGCCAACGTCGACACCATACATGCATGATGATGGCAACTAAACTAGCAATGAAAAACGTCAAGAAAAGTCCTCCTAGTACCTTTATATTGTTGGCTGCTCCGTCCTTGTCCGCCGTACTTCTTCCACCTTTGCACATCCTGGGTCGAAGCCGTGCGGTCTCTAGACTAGCGATCTTACCTGTTTCATGAAGTGACAGCAAAACCATATCTAGCTCTGTTTTGTATAGTCTGCCCTTGAGCATATTCGATAGCAGCTCGAGCCTCCAGCTTTTAACTAATATGCAGTCTTTTCCACTTATTAGAATTGCTTGAATAACCATTATTATTATTGTTAAATCCATTATGTTAATCCTTTTAGGTTTGACCGGCACACTTCATTTCATGGCTGATGTATTAACTCCAAGATATGCTTATTTTCCAGCATTTGAATAGGAACCGGCTATGCTTAATCGAGCATTTTTTATGATCATACCTTATTTAAAGTTTTATTCGATGTTATTTGAATAATATCTGTTCAAACATCAATCTTCTAAGGCGCACTTTCAGTAAATGACCATGTATCGACCGTTATTGGTGGAAGCATATCTAGAATCAGAATAAATTTTATTTTATTTAAAAATAGTGTAAAATATTTTTTTAAAATAAACAAGAAGTTACATGTCAGACATATTAAAAATGTATTTGTTTTATGAAATTTTCCCGTACGTCAACAGTAGATAAGAACAAATTTCATTTTAATATATAAATTTTTCTCTGTTTGTTTTCTAATTAACTACCGTAATAATAATTAGAGTAAAAGACTAAAAATGTAAATATGGAAGAAAAGAGTTATAACAAATCAAAAATGCGCAACAACAAAATAAGAAAAATGGTGGGATTGCCATAGCTTTGATTCTTTTCGTGACCGACAATATTGTCTAATACATAAAGATTTTGAACTTGCTGCATTAGAGATAGTCCTAACAATAAATCAACTTTCCTTTAATTTATATGTATTCGAACCTCAGCGCTAGTAAAGTCGTGTAATGACCTTGAGCAAGTTAATTATGTCTTAGTGCCTCGGATCACTCGTCTGACAGCACGCTCACTACGTTGTGACGTACAGTACAGCTTCTCCGGCGAGTCCACGTGGTTTTTCGGAAAGCGCATTTCTTCTGGTTCTAAGAAAGTCGACTTTTAATTTCCAGTTCATATGACTACATTTACTCAGAATAGGCTACATAATATTGATATCGGCGATATGTGCTTATAGAAAAAATTAAAAAAACTATGGCAAAAACTTCGCTGTACGAAAGATAGCCTACTGTGTGCTTTGAGTTTACTAAAAGCCAGTAGACACCCCTCTTAGGGCTTCTAAAAAGTCTGATTTCACGTCTAAATCATGGAAAATGCGATTGACTCTTGTTTTGAAGAGAATACTTTGAGTAGAGCTCTGTAGTTAACCATTACCCTACGCTAATAGGATAGAGTACGACTAGTGTGTGAACTTTTGGCGTAGCAGACTTTTGCCGTTTTCTGTCTTTTATAGTTCTATCAACAAATGACAGTTACTTTTTAAATATGAGCAATATTGTAAATATAAAATAATAAATCCAAGATACAGGCCACGTGGAATCATAACTGAGACTACTTGTTTCATCAAAAAATAGTTTAAAATCAAGCTTCTTTTCTCTAATTTCTTTTTACAGTAAAACCTCTATTAGTGAATACCTCCCATTTTGAACAAGGTCTCGGTCCGACGAAGCGATTTTTGCTGGAAATGCACCTCTCTAATGTGAACACCTCGCTATTCTGAACATGAACACTTCTTTACAGTCCCTCTAGCTACTATAACTTCTCTAATGTGAACCAGAGACCGAATCGGGTCTTACGTGGATGACCCGAACCCGACCCGACCCGATTCAATATTTTTTATATTAACCCGAATCCGACCCGATCCGAAGGCTTTTGGACCCGACCCGAAATTTTCAAAACTGGACCCGAATGACCCGAAAATTTTTCTTAGTTGACCAAACAATAACTCGAAACAGAAAACCGTTTGTCTCGATCGTGTGTTATCATGAAGTCTAATCATCATAATGCGAGGCATATCTAAGTCGTTGGTTTTTTTTTGATTTAGTTATGTTTCTCTTTTTTTCTTTTCTTTG